GTGTGTGTGTGTGTGTGTGTGTGTGTGTGTGTGCGTGTGCGTGTGTGTGTGAGAGATGCCTCCATTCCGCTTGTTTACTATCATACTGTGCTTCCAACATGGCGGCGCATCCGAGCACTTGGTAAAAACGGGATGTGACTGCAAGGGGTCTATTATATTCTTGTTGTTTGTGCACAGGGCGTGCGTGCGGTGTACTTGTGTGTTGTAGAGGAGCATTTGAACCACAGGCACAGGCACTTGAAACCACAGGGACTTGAGGCGGAAAAAAAAAGTGTTATATATATAAATAGGGGAAAAAATAAAATAATAATAGAATAATAGAATAATAGAATAAATAGGGGAAAAATAAATACCCCTATTTATATATATAACACTTTTTTTTTCGCCTCAAGTCCCTGTGCTTGAAACGTCTCAATAAAAAAAAAAGAAGGTAAATTTGGTAGTAAATGGTACATTTCGTGTTTATTTAACTTTTTTATTGAGATGTTCCAAGTGCCTGTGCGTGCAAAGCTTTTGCGGTTACAATTGAATGAATAATTTACATAAAATGAACTTATCCGAGCGCGTTTAGCCTTTTAAGTTTTAGTTTTACGTAGGCCCTAACCCGACCAGGCTGTGTGACTGACGTCAATATACACGTCGGTATTCTAACCCTAGCAATACCGTTTCTTGGAGCTACGTAGGCCCTATAGCCACGTCACGCCCTCCTCAGACGCAAGTGACTACCTCGCTTACCTCCGGCTATCTCCAAGAAACGGTACGTATTCAATTGCTAGCACGGATTGTTCGGGCTAACCTCCGGCTTATCTCTGCTTCAATGCTTGGCTTGCGAGACGCGACGCAATGTTTCACACGTACTATAATTAGTACGTAGATATCAGTGGATGCGTCAGAAGGTGTGTTATGTATTATACTGACCTCAAAACTTAGTCTTAGGTAGTACAAGTTTGTATAGGTTTGAAAAAAGTGCTTCCACCACGAAGTTCACGACGAACGTGCTTCCAGTTCCACTACGAACGCTGAGGACGAACGTAAACAAGTGCTTCCACGACGAACGTAAACAAACTTTCAGCATATAGGGGCCTATAGATGGCGCTACGTAATGTTTATTTTAGGTGGCGACTCGGTTGTGATATCTCCTTAGGAAAGGTACGTGCACAGTATTCAGATTGATAGCGTCTTGTTCAGTTTATGTATTTGCAAATCGAGGTGTGACTAATGAAATGGTCTTCAGTCATTCAGCGGCGCGTAAATAATACAGGGTTTATCGCTTGGCGGGTGACCTTCGTAGCTAGCGTGCAATCGTGTTCGCGGTTGAGCCTCTGAGTCTGAGCACAGGCCCTTGGAGGCTCAAGTTTCGAAAAAGTATAAGTCTATATTAAGAGCGAAGCCAACCCTAGATACAATACTGTAACCCAAACACAGGATAGGTGCCCAACCCTATCCTGTGTTTGGGTTACATTATTGTATCTACCTACAACCCGTACAGTGCATCAACATTACAATGCTGGACCTCAGCGCAGCAGATTGTAAGGTTATATACAATAATGGAATCCAGCAGAGTAGTAACACCTACTCTGTTGTGTTAATTTATTGTATCTAGCTGTAGATTATACTGTAGTCGATGAGCAAGAGTTAGATATCAGGGTGGCGCACAACATTTTCAGTACTTTTTAGTGGGTCTTTTGTTTATAAATATATGCTGCTCTATATTTGTACACCATAGTTATGTATTAGACCCTATATTCCGATTAACATGAACAGAGGGGCAACTTCATAACATGCTAGCTAGCCGATAAGCCTCCTGCCATCTTACCTACAGGTTTAGCTTAGGCAATAGATAGCATCTGTTCGGCCACTCATACCAGGGTCAGGGCCATGTATTGGACACAGACAAGTGATTGCACATAACCTAGCATACAATGTTTTTAGTACAGCATAATAAAGCATCATATACACAACATAAGGAACATAATCAAGAATATAATCGAGGCGCGGGGTAATAACTGCTAATGTATGCCGGTCATATCTCAATCTAAACCTAGATGAAAGTACCGCCAGATTTGGGACACAATTAAAATTAGGATTACGATCGATCATCAGAAATTAACCAACATCAGTTTGCAAATGAATATATTGTTGGTCATGCTTTTAGGAACACATTTAATAGTCTTATGTTATGCCAGATTTCAGTTTTATGCATTTTTATCTCATTAATTTTCCTGATTTCCTTGAACGAATGTGTACATATGCATAGAATGTGGTCATAAAAACACAATAATAAAGTACTTGTATATGTTTTTTCCTTATCGAAGAGGCTTTTATTTGTATAAAAATGTTATGAAAATTTTTTCACACTACTACAAGTGTGGCCAATTACCTCAAAATTGTCCACACAACAAAAGATAAGAAATTTCTATTCTTCTACGATATTAACGAAAGTGGACAGTTATGCTATTCCATTGCATGTTTCTAATGCATATAGTAAGTGTTTGATGTGAATAAATTTATGCTTAGCTTGGCCAAGAGATGGCAGCACATTACTAAAAATGTGTAATGCTTGCTCAGTTGCTATCGTATGTTAGTAGTAGGTCTCAGGGGAGAGATAGTGGATATAGAAATCAGTTAACCCTAACCCTAACCAGGGCTGTAGTGGCCTCCGAAAATGTGCTACTGCAGAAAAATGTAGGATCACCCAGTAATAATAGCATAAGTGGCGGTACATGGTGTGTGCCGGCACACACGGCGAACGCCGCAGTCGCGAAGCCCATTTGGGGGGGGGGGGGGTCTGGGGGCCCTCCCCGAGAATTTTTTTACAATTTAGAGCCTGGAAATGGCATTTCCTGCATTTTCATGCTATGTTGAAAGCAACCAATTTGTAAATTTTTGTAAAGCTGATGTTTTGACTAAAGTATCTAAAATATATATTATGAGTATGATAACTAATAAAACATTGTTTACAAAATTGTATATACTATTCCTATCACTCAGTATCAGTACATATAATTATGAAAAACAAGCCTATTTTCAATCTGCATTTATACTTTCACTATCATCTGTATGTTTTGAAGTTTGAATTTGAATCACAATACCTTTGTCATATTAAATACACATTCCAAACAGGGAAAAATTACTTTTTTTCAGGAGCTCTTTTTCAAAAGTCTGTGGAAAAAATAGCTCCCGTCAAAAATTTTACCGGAGCTATTTTGAGCCTCACGGGAGCGATTTCGGAGGTTTGAAGAGCGAATCGCTCATCGCGCTCGTGTATTTTTTACCCTGATTCCAAATCTTAGAGCACTGATATAACACCTCTAATTGATCAGTATTAACAGTGATACCAGACAGTCCAGTCAGATAACAGTCAGCTTCTTGGTTCCCTGCAAATGTTTTTTTGTCAAAATAGTGCCACGGCAGTGCCGTGCTACCGTGGCGGCCACTACGGCCCTGCCCTAACCCTAACCCTAATCCTAACCCAAACTCTAACCCTAACCCTATCCCTAATTCTAAAATAAAACAAAATTAGCCAAAAATAATAAAAAATAAAATAAATAAGAGACAAAATTAGCCAATCAGAGCCGTCCCCTAGCGGATCACTATCTCTCCCCTGTGCAAAATTCGTATGTTAGCAGCTCTTCTTGCGTGCTCACACTGTGGTGGCGCCAGTAATGTGTTAGGAGCTAGCTATGTCACGTGCTTCTGAATATAATATCAAGAGCTCATAACAGAGAAGAGTATGACACCGTTTTAACAGCATTTTGTATAGTTTTCAACTTGTAAATATTCTATCAATATGTGAATAAATATATTCAAACTTTACCTTGTTTTCGTCTATGATTCTCCCTTAATCATATGACACCACCAATTTACCTAAAAATCGTATGCGTTCTTCAAAAAAGTTCTTTGAATATGACACGGTTTCACACAGTTTTCCCAAACGTTCGCATGTATTTGGCGCATGTTGATATGCGGCGGCAGCACCAGGTTGTAACTACGGGATGCTGGGGGCTGTTGGGGATATTAGGTAAGCACAGTAACAGCACTTGTTTCGCTTCCTTATCATCAGGAACACGATGACAACACAGCTAAAATCAGCTGCTAGCTCGCCGTGAGAACACATTTATTTCTAGCATGCTGGAAACGCTACACGCTGAATACAATTCGATGCCTAATATCCCCAACAGCCCCCAGCGTTCCGTCATAGACAATAGAACACTAAACCGATAATAAACTTGCGCCGAATACATGCGATCATTTGGGAAAACTGTGTGAAACCGTGTCGTATTCAAATAACATTTTTGAAGAACACATGATTTTCAGGTAAATTGCTGGTGTCATATGATTAAGGGAGAATCATAGATGAAAACAAGGTAAAGTTTGAATATATTCATTCACATATTGATAGAATATTTGTTGAAAACTATGCAAAACGCTGTTAAAACAACATACTCTTCTATATTATGAGCTCTTGATAATATGTGTAGTACCAATCCAATTTTCGACAGGAAATAATTTGGGGCTCAATTACAAGATCATGAAGATGTAAATTTAGGTCCAGTGAATTTTTCTCGTTCAACGGAAAATATTGGCGATTTTTGCTTATAGTCGTATGTATGTATGTAAGGTCTTTAGGTACAAGAGTCAATGCATTTTGTGCTTTATTGGAGCCAGATACATGCCCGTGGAATGCTACTAGTATTTGCTGATTGCCTGTAAACTATTTAAAATTGATATATCAGGTCTATAAACGTTTTTCGTACAAAAGGCAAGGAACTGGCATACTGTTTTTATCTTTAGCTGATGTTTATGTATTACTCATGATGCCACCAGCTATGGGCAAATGTAAGTACACATTTTCTGTAATCCGACCAGCCAGTCATAACCGTGCCGACTGAAATTGTATTTAATTTGTTGCTAGTTGCTGTGTTTAATTGTGGTTTTATTAATGTTTTTTTTACGTTTAATTATCGTATTTTAAAAGTGTTTTATACGTGGTTAATTGTATTTTAATCGTGGTTTGTGTATGTTCAGTTGTGTTTGTATTTTTATAGTTTGTTTACGTACATTTTTACTGGCCGATAGCATTGGGGGAACGCGCCACAATACTATACACACTGTGAGTGCTATGTCTATATGATGTGTCATGTTTGTTCTCGTCGCTGAAAGTGAAAAAAAGATTGAAACTTGTCTCGTTTATCTATGGTTATCTTGCTGTTGGGTAACACGTGGCAGTCGGGTAAAGAACTGAGTCGTGTCAGCCACCCGTACGGCTTGTTAATGCACGACATGTAATCTATGTTGCTGGTGTGTGCAGTACGTTGTGACCTATTGTGATATGATCGCCAGCGCCGAATGCTTCCGTCTTGAATGATAGGGTCCCACAATTTCTCTAAAGCCTTCCCGTTAATTATTTTGCTTCAATAATGTTAGTAATTTGTACACGGAGACCGGTGGATCATGTAAATATAAAAAATAAGTAATATTGCGAGTAGGCAGCCGTTGTGATCTGTATTCTTAAATGATAACAGCAATGTTATTTCCGTTTGTTGTTGTCTGAGTTTATGAGTATTTTTATGAGTGGAAATTCGGTTGGAGTAAGCAGAGTTGGGTTGCCAAAGGGGGGTGGCATCGGTCACTGTGGTCAAGACCTAGGAGTGTTTTTGATTGCGGATTTGAGAAGAGGAATCAAAATTAGGAAAACGAGGAAAACGGCGCCGGTTGGATATATATTTCTGTAGTTTCCCTTTTCATGCATGGTCTCTCTAACATCTACTCCCGTAGAAATTTATGATTAATTTTATTAGCTGTCGTGCTAAGATAAACCTATTCCAGTGGAAACGATTCGGAACTAAATTGAAATAATACGCGTGAATGAGTGAACCTATAGGTCTACGACAGGTA